TATGTGTAAAGCTACAGACCTAAGGCAGTGTCTGGAGTTGTCTGGAAGGTGGGACATAGCTGCAGGTGAGTTTATATGCAGTGCTGTATTCAGTTTTCTGGGCAGTATGTTTTTCTGTTGTGATGCAGCCATCAGACTTTCGTACAGAAACTGTGTTGCTGTCCTTAAATTAAGAGGCTGGCTAAGGATTGTAATATTTCTCCATGTTTCTGTTCCATTTTCCTTTTGTGAAATTCTGTCACGTTTGAAAATCTGTTTGCTGGAAGTGCTGTTAAGTGTTCCTGATGGCTTATTGTTGTCATTTGTCACTGCTCAGTGGCTGGATATGAACAGAAATAACTCACCTATGGATTTACCCATTTTTAGAATTTGGTTCTCTGGCTAAATGAGTACCTTTTGATTTTGGCAGATACATTGAATACATGTGTGACATGATGGCTGAAGAACCCATTATTCCTCACAGCAAGCCCATCCTTGTCAGATCAATCATCATGACTCCAGTTCCTCTTTTCAGTAAGCAGCGTAATGGCTGCAGGCCTTTTTGTGAAGTTTATGTGGGAGATGAGAGAATAACCACTACCTCCCAGGAATATGACAAAATGAAGTAAGTACAGGTTCTGGTTTGCTCTGAAACAGCACATTGTTTTCCTAGACTAACTTAAAATTAAGTCCATACTGTGAGGAGAAAACATGATTTTGCTTGTGTCAGTTGAGCAGAAAGCTGCTGTAACATGTGGAACAGTACCTCTGTCCCCTTTTAGCTGATCTTGGGTGGTAAATCATGGGAAAGAGACAATGTGGTTTAAATAGCAGCTTGGATCTGTTCCTGCAGAACATGGGGAATGATGATGGGGTGGCACAGTGGGCACTGATAGGCAGAGGTAAGCAAGACCCTCTTTCCTCTCGCTCCATGTGGTGTAAACTGGGGAAGATTGATCCCTGGTATACATGTGCTGAACTGAACATCATGTCTCAGTCATGGAAACAGTAAGGATTCCCCAGACACAGCAGCTGTAAGGAAGTGCTAGTTAGCCCCCATAAAGCTCTGGTGTCTGCTGCTGTAATATAGCACAGGAATTGCAAACAGCACTAGCAGTACTAAGTGTAAGTAGTCACAGACAGAGGAAAGATGAGAGAATACCAAAGTCCTTCTAGCTTTCTTTTAAATCCAAACCCTGTAAGGACTTTAATAAATTTGAAGAGAATAGCAACAGAAACAGCTGTGGGATGTTATAATAATGTTTTCCCCTCTTTTTCTCTACCACTGTACCTCAGTGGGAGTCCTAGGGTATCACAGCAGTGCAGCTGCACTTTATCTCTGCACTTTTCTTTGGAAAAGATTTCTTAACAATTTCCTGTCTCTTGCATTTCCCAGCAGCTCCTTGAAGACATATTTCTCCCATATTTGATTTGAGAACTACTGTTCTAAATGTCTGTTGCTTTGCTGTAGGCAGTTGTTAATCTTGTTATTTTTAGAGCAGCTTTTAATTTTAATCATTTAGAGTGAGTTCCTTCTCTGTAATAAGAACTTGAAGCAGATTTTTATGGGTTAAATTGAAGGCCTTGGAGAAACTGAACTGAACCTAAGTTAATACACTGTTATTTTCCTAAACAAAATTAACTGTGGTTATGTTTTTTCTTCAGGGAGTTTAAGATTGAAGATGGGAAAGCAGTAATTCCACTAGGTGTAACAGTCCAGGGAGATGTTCTTATTGTGATCTATCATGCTAGGTCAACACTAGGAGGCCGACTACAAGCCAAGGTAATGTTAAATTTAACACCCTACATGAAGAATTTGATTTTTTTTGTTGCAGTTTTGCATCAGACTTGTATTTGTGATCTCATTGAATATGTGGCTTTATTTGTTATTCTTCAAAGAATTGTGTGAGGTTTTCATGTACTTGGGAATTCAGCCTAGTAAGTATGTCCATTCCTAGTGCTCCGCATTAGGTGCTTTGGTAAGCATTTCCAGAAATTACTTCAATAGTGATAGCTGTTATATTTGCCTGGAAAGCTTCTAGTCAGCTTTTTCAGGCAATGATTGTTATCTGTTAACTTGCTTAACAAGACAAACTTTTAAATTTTGTACATGCAAACTGCAACCGAAGGAAAAAATATCACTCAGTAGAAAAGTGGAATTCAAGGACTGCATGTATAAAACAGGCTAGAAAAATCCATGGTTTTTTTACTGTATTTCTAGAGCCTGATTGAGGCTTTTGTAGCAAATTTTCGTTCTCGTCTTTGTTCTCCTAGAGAGAGTGCATGCTTTCTTTTTTGATTCAACTATGGATGCAAGTGTATTGCAAGATCAACAAAAAAAATATGCTGATGAAGCCTGTCTTTGAATTTCTAAAAAAGCAGTATTTTCTTTTCTTTTCTTCAGATGAGTAATCTGAATTAAATTTGGAGACCTATGTAAAAAAATAAGAAGGGGCAGTACAAAGTTTAGGTTAACTTGGGACATTATGAAAATTCATGCAGAGGTGCTTCAGACTGTTCCCATACATTTGGGGCAAACAAGCATATTCATGCATATCTACTATTACTGAAATAAATGTTTTTCCCTATGTTTTTTCTACTTTATGCGTAGGAAAGTATCAAATCTTGTCATGTTGCAGAAGTTCAGTACTTTCTTGATGTCTCCAGAGTACTATGGGGCCAGGTCTTCCAGAACATCCTAAAACTGAAAGCTCAGTGAAATGATTCAATTACTAGTGTATGATTCAATGTCATCAGTGAAGAAGGCCTACAACTGGGAAAATTCGGTCAAGTTATCTTATACTCCTTGTGCAGTCTTGGCTGCACTGGTGATAGACTTTCTTTGATGTGGTTTGTCTGCCATTTGTTCACTAATTGAAAAAGATTCTAGCACATGATGCAACAGTGGTGATCCTATTTGGAGCTTTGATGGAACAATATTCGATGTGTCCTTAGTTTTACATACTGTGAAGTGCTCTGTGAAGCTCTCTGAGAAATCTTAGGGATATTAACCACCACATTTCAGTATTGCTGTTAAGTGCCTAGAATCAGGCATTGTGAGGGTCTCCCACTTACAATTAATTTGAGAGAGGATTTAGTTTATCTTCTAGGAAATGTCTTGCATAGTACGGGATTAAGAAAACTGATTTAATAGGCTATTCAGGTTTTCATATGTAGTTCAGGGTAGGGATGGATGATATGTCAGTTTCTTGTAATGAGGAGCCCAGCACTGGACACAGAACTTCACATGTGGCCTCACCAGTGCCGAGCAGAGGGGAAAGATCACCTCCCTCAACCTCATAGCAATACTTTGCCTGTCATGTGGCTTCTGGTTATGAGGTTCAATAAATGCTTATTTACAAGGAAAGCTTTCATCATTGTATTATATCATATTTACTGGACTAACACTATATGACTTCCTTTGTAAGGACTGGCAAGACTATTCCAAGCGTGTTATACTAAAGTCAGGGAACAAATAATTGTGGACTTACTGGTTTGCTTTAATTTGGATTTGTACAAGACCAGGAGCTACATGAACCTTCTATAGTAGCATCTCATGGATTCTCAAATGCTGACCAGGCATGGGAAAGTAGGTTTTTTCTATCAGCAGACGAAAGAATTGGGGAAGCTGAATGGTTCTAGTGAATGAGTTTGGAAAAGCCATATAATTCTGTCTGGAATGGATGGTTGACTTGAAACCTTGCACAGGAAAAAGAACTCTTTGTATGTGTTATGAAATGTCCTTTTAAATATGCTGCACTTAAAACTGTTCTGTATGTACTGCTTTATATAAGACATACATTTCTTGATTAATGTATTGCACAATGTTTTTTTTCTGAGTGTACATTATTTGGAACAGTAATGGTCATGCAGTTTTCAGCCTCTAGAGGGTCTGGAAACGTTTCACAGAATTTGATAGTCTGAGGTTGGTGATGAACGGTATCTCATTCAATGTCTTCTGGTTTGTTTCTGGTAGTAATAGGTTTATGTGTGTTCTGTCTCTCAAAATAAAGTATACCTGGAATTAACTGAAATGGTAGCAAAACAAGCACTTTAAAATATTTTAATACTGAAAATACTTTGCATTATATTAAAGGCAGAACACTGTGCATACTGTTCATGTGGATTTATGCAGGTTCCCTGTATCTCTTGTTTTCAACAGATGGCTTCAATGAAGATGTTTCAGATTCAGTTCCATACAGGTTTTGTTCCCCGAAATGCCACCACAGTGAAATTTGCCAAGTATGTTGACACCCTTTTGTAGGAGACTGAAAGAAGTTTTCTTTGAAACTGTTTAATCTGACAAACCAACATATGACAAGGGGAGGAAATACAGTCAGTGTAGGAAGTAGATTACTTCAGTTGCAGTAAGATGATTCTTAGTTTTGTCACCTCAAGAAAACTAAAGGTTTTGTTCATGATGCAAAAAAAAATTATGTACCAAAATATCACCTGTTTAAAAGATATGGAGAAAGCAAATGAATGCAACATGTTTTAAGCCTTATACTAATAGCTTTACATTTCTGTCTTGGACTAGTGAATTTAATCTAGCTAGCCACTGGTATCAAGAATCTACTTGTATTGCAGGTATGATCTGGATGCTTGTGACATACAAGAAAAGTATCCTGATTTATTTCAAGTCAATCTGGAAGTAGAAGTGGAGCCCAGAGATAGACCTAGCTGTGAACAGCCGCCGTGGGATAACATGAATATAAAGGGACTGAATCCCAAGATCCTTTTCTCCACCCGAGAGGAACAGCAAGAGATTTTATCAAAATTTGGTAATGTCTTGAAAAGCTAGGAAACATTATAAAGTTTGTAATGTACTTAGTGTTTGAGACTTCTGTTTAATTTTTGACATTCCTTTAAGTGAAATAAATTTAAAAGGTGGTTTATTTGTAAATATCACTTAAAAATTTGCATTGTATGAAGGAGTATAAATTATCCTTCAATAATGGATTATAATTATCTTTGTCTTACCTCTACTGTCATTACATTTTCTTGCTTTAAAGCTATGGATATGCTATTTATGGGGATTTTAGCAAATAGAGTTGTGACAGCTAGGATTTTTAGGCAAAATGTCTTGAAAAAACTGTATTTGGCTAAACTGGCATCATTATCATTTAACTTCTTCTGAGCATTCCTCACAAATGGTCTTAACTAAAAATGGTTTTAGTGAGGTTCTTCTTACACATAGCTAAGTAATGTGGTAATTCAATTTCTCAGCTTTTCTGAATGTTTAATTTTTTTAATAGTATGTATTGCATGCTTCATCTGTAGATGCCTGCATTAGTTCCTGTTAATACTGTTCAGTGTCTGTCTTCTTCTCCTGGCATTAGTAATTAGCTTTGACATATTCATGAAGGCTCTTAAGCCTTCTCTGTGCATCCAGGATAAAAAGCACGATGGAGATTATTGTGGTGATTTTAGTACACCATATATGAGATCTTACTCTTTATTCGTAATATCATACATCTTTATTACATTTCGTTTCATACAGGGTAGTTGCTACTGTCTTACTTTTAATTTAGCAGGATATGTTTGGTTTGCGTTATGATTTAGGCAATTTTCTATTTAATTTATTTTATATAGACTTTAAAGACCCTACTGTGAACACAGCTCTTGATTCAGTACAGTTAAGGTGTTTCATTGATAATGAGGATCTGTACAAATTACTCTTGTTTTTTTAAAGCCACTTTTATTTTCTGCTTGATAAATGTAAGAGTTTCAAGTTCTATTGAAAATATTTCTTAAAACTGGTTGGAAGGGAATAGGATAAAAGCAAGTGTTGTGAACTGGTTTTATAAAACTTGCCCTGTTAAAATTGAATTTGCACTAATAACGATTTTTCATATATATTTTCTGAGACATAGTATTTCTTTCAGCATCTATGCAAGCTGCAATTGAATAAGTGGAAGGAGGGTGAAAAAGTGCTCTACCAGTTTGGTATTTAAATTTAGACAAATAGCTTTCTGCCCAGTCGTTCATCCCATTGTTTTTAGACAGTGGATGAACACTTACTACTTTAGGTAGTCTTCTTATTTGCTTTGAGGAAACCTCCTTCTCGGGAGATGATACAGCAGTAGGTAACTCAGACCAAGTCAGTCTTACACGAGACTCCCTTAATATCTTATCTCAGTAAACTAAATGTAAGGAGTAGTTAATCGCAGGACACTGTGTATTACTGAACTCCTTTTAGATGCTTATTAACAACTGTGTTCTTATCTGACTTTATACTCTGGGGTTTTCCAATAGCTGCCTTTGCTTTTTTCTTATGTTGGGTTACTTATTGCAGATCTTCATAGCTATTGTCTCTTTTAGAGGATGGTTGGTACAATTGAGGTGTTAATTCCATTTTCTGCAAATGAATGCATGAGTGTTTTGCTATGAGTCTGGTTTAATTTAATGTTAGTTGAATTCAAAGTCTTACCAGCCTTTGCAGTTGAAACAAAGCTAATGATGCAAATTTCACATGGGAAGTGGGGGTTGGAATTTCTTTGCAGAGTAATAGATACTTTGAGATGATTGTCTTGCTGTGGCAGTCAGTCTGAAAGTGAAATACCAGCTGCTATGACCAGGACTGAGTCTTAGAAGTTTTTCCTCTAAGTATTCTGACTTAAAATATATCTTACAGGAAAACCAGAGCTGCCTAGACAACCAGGTTCAACTGCACAATATGAAGCAGAAGCATCCCAGCTAGAGCAGTCTTCAGAAAGTGTACCTACTGAGACAGAATCCCCACACAGCAGTAGTACCGATGCAAATAACTTCTTTCATTCCCTGGACTGGAAAGGTACAGATTTTCCTCTGAAGTAACTATTTGTTTCATGTTTGTTGTCTTGTACACCTTCCAATGAGTGCTTAAGATGCATTATACAATAAAAGTCACTATTTCACCAGACCATGAGAAAAAGCTATTTAAAGAGTGAGCTCTGCAGGTTAGCAAGTGGTCATTCTGTTTCATTTGGATAAAAAGTAATAGTTTTTGGTGACATGTGTAACTTAAATGATGAGCTACATTTTCCTTTTCTGCAAAAATCTTAGCCGTAAAGGTCTGCAACAAAGCCTCTGCATTCCCACAGCCCCACTTGGGCTGGCTGAGGAACAGAGGAAACATAGTAGCCTAGCCAGTAGGGCCCAGATCAGTAAGTATGGACTGAGAAAATGTAACTTTATAGTGCATGTTTTAGTCCTTTTTTTGGGGTTCTGCTTTGGCAAAAATGTCAGTAACTGTTTATGCTATCACTGAATGCTGTCACTGAATGGAGCTGCAGTTACTGAGTGGTCTTCTAACCCATAAGGGGCACAATATCCTGAAGTGGATGTCCAAGTCAGTCTCACTTTTTAAAAAATCTGTAATACTTGCCCTTGCACAGTGGAAAGTATGGTAGTGAACTGCCCCTTTGCCTGCCCTGTACAAAGAGGTGGTAGGCAACAGTTCTTTCTTTTAATCAATTCTTTTGTCAGCTTTAATTAAGGGTAGATTTTTATATGATCTCACTATATGAGTCTCTTATGCTAGTTGGCAGAAGACTCCTTGTAATCTAAAGCTGTTACTTATTTTTATTCAAGAAGGAAAAAGTCCGGAAAGTGGAGTAGAGGACAGTTCATCTAAAAATGATCATGTTCAGCTATCTGATGACAGAGAAGAGAGTGTTCCTTCAGATGAGGAATTCCCTACGTTTTCAGGCGAAGAAAGTGCAGTAATTGTTGACGAAAAAGACTCTATTACTCCAGAAGGAGAGTTGTTCTTTGAAGCCAATTTTGAAGCTCAATCTGCACTGTTACAAAAATCTCTTCCTGAAGAGAATGTGGACTTACTGGGTCTAGACTCTGATATTTCACCAGAACAGAAACAACCTATCTTGGAAGTAAACTTTTCATCAAGTAATACTGACTTGTTGAACAATCTGTTCGTGGGTAATGTATCACAGATTTCAGAAGAGCCCACTGGAGATCTTCTTGGACAAGGAACAGATTTCTTTTTCAGCAGTCAGTCTCAACATACAGCTGCTACTCAGGTTACATCTTCGGCAGCAGCTATGTCTTCAGGTGTGTAAGTTTAACATCAGTATTCTTCAGCTGTCCAACAGATAAAAACTGCTGCTTGCATTGTGTTTAGAAAATGAATACCATGTTTTGATCTGTACACTGAAGACACTGGTCTATAGCAAGATTCTGCATCGGACAGGTATCCTATTAGCTTTAAGCCATATAAATGGAAAAGTATCAAATTTTGAATTTAAAGGAGACTCAGTATTCTTAAAGAAACCATAGCTCTCCCATACAAATGTTACATGCTAGATAATTTTCTAAATCTCCATGTAACTATCTTCTCTTGCTGAGGCATAGAATTGTAATAACTTACTGCTTGCCTGCGCTTTACATAAAGCAATAGCATTAGATGCGGTACAGAGCTGTGCTGGTCAGGTCAAATGTCTGCGTGGGATTTTTGAGTGTTAATCACATAACGTTGCTAGGCAACTGAAAATCCTGTAGATTACTGTTCAAATTGGTGTGATAGTAGTACTGCTGAAAGGTATTTTCTTCCTAGTTCTACTGACGGTTGTTGGTAGGTCTGTGTCCTGCAAGAAACTGTTACACACTGCTGCCCCTGTGGCATTTAAACAAGGTGTTTTAGTTTAGAGGTTCTGGTCCTCTTACCAGTGCCTTAGATCTGTTACGTGACTACACAGCAATTCTCTGTCTGAAGTTACAGTAAGAGTCTTGCAAGTATTTGTCAGATAATCTGGGAAACTGTTACAAGGTTTAGATTTTTGCATAATAATTCACTTAGACTAAAAGATTTAATATACATACAGCTGCAGCTTGTTTTTGTAGAGCACTTGTGATTTCACAGAGTGATTTCAAGTATTTCTTTTGAAGCAATTCGATATTGATCTTCTTTACTGTAGTCAAAGGTAAATTAAGTGATTGCTCATTTACACAGGCAGAAGACTATAAAAAGGAAGCTTTATTAGTTTGTCTGTCTTTAACTGCCATTCTTATATCAACTGCATAAAACACCTGAGCAGTAGTCATGTATGTATCTCATTCTACCTTTGAATTGGATAAAAGAAAGATAATTGCAGAAGTAAGAATATTTAGCTGCTGTTGTATTTCAGTTTGCACATCAGACTTGTATTTGAGGCTTTGTGTACTTGTGATGCTATAGTAAAATAGCTTGATGACAATCCAGGAGGTTTTTTTGGAATGTTACCGAGTCCTGTACAATGAAGTCATCACCCCAGGATGCGCTGAGGCACTATGGCAGGATTATTCCTTCTCAGCGTCTGAGTGCGTCTGGCAGGAGTCCCTGGGCTCTTAAAGATTTTGACCCTAGAGGGCAGCAGAAAGGGAAGATCTGGAGCCATGATTCCAGCAGACTGTCACATGCTACCCCATGCTCACTATAAATACTCTTCCAGTTAGTTTTTTCTTCATTGTGATCACTAGAGACCTGTTGAAAGCCTTGCTGCTGTTGGTTTTCATTCTTGACTTGACAAGCTTTCTGCCCCAGAGTCACCAATGCCTTCAAGTCAAAGTGGTAGTATGAATGTTTTACTTGATATTATTTTTAGTAGTTTAGTCTGTTTTGTTTAAATTCTTCAGAAGTTTGGCATTATAGAGTGTTTAATAAATGTATTATTCTGTTTGTATGCAGATGTTTATTCACATTTAATGTGTATCTTGCATGGATGAAATTAACAATGTTATTAAACATATGCAGACTTGCTAAGGATTTGTGTTTGATGACATAGCTGTTCATATTGTGTATAGCTGAAATACTTTTTGTATAGACATGGAAGTACAGCTGTCTAGAGGAAGAGAATGGTGACTTTTTGCCATTAAAAATTGTCAGAAGGCTGCTGCAGTCACCAACGTGAACTCTACATTCGTCTGTGCCTTCAGAGGAGTAAAGCTTTTTCAACTTTATCTTATGACAAATTTTAGAATAATTTTATGTTCTGCTTCTTTTTTTAGCTGATCCTTTTGACCCATTCATAATGTCATCAAGTTCAGAAAATCAAGCCCAGTCTAGTCCAGACTTCTTTGGGGACTTTCTCAATCCAAGCTCAACATCTGCAACTAGTACATTTCCTTCCACACATAGTTCACTTCCTCCTTCTTCCAGCTCAGATTTCTTAAATTTAGGTAAGTGTGCTGCTGATGTTCTCTTTCTCAACAGTTTTTGGTGCTCTGTGCATTTGTCTTCCAGCTTAGTCAAGGCGGATTAGTGTCTCAATAGATACACTTGTTGTGACTGCTGTTTTAATTAGCTCTGTGTTCTGGGAATGCAGATACAAAAGCACCAAGTAGCAAGGGTTTCCCGTATAATGCAATACTAATGTTTATGATGTGAGAGGATTCCTAACACTCCTAACCTTCTGTAAGGAGCTGGAGTTACCTATGAGGGCTCTTAAAACTGAGCATACACAAACACCTGCAAATTTACTTTCTAGATGGCAGAATGCTATTTTGATTGCATTCAAATTAAGATTTTCTGGAAGCCTTGAAAAAGAAATAAGTGAGTCAAGTTATATTACAGCAGGTTTTTAGAATGCAGGCTGAGGCTAGCTTGGGCATTCTTGACCTGAATGCATTCTGGTAATACACTTAAGAAGACATTATGTAATACGCTAATCTTATTTTTTTCATTTACTTTCTCTGATGTATTCTTGGTGAAGCCTTTTCCTCTTGCATTTAATTTAAAATCTATTCAAAAAGCTTTGTGATATGTTCAGTCTTCTTATATCTCCATCCTAAGCATCTTATTTCCAAAGCGTTACTAAATAGAGCTTCTAAGCATGCTCATTCTTTAAGGAGAAACATATCCTTCCAAAAATGGTGGAATGGTAGAACCAGAATTGTTGCTTTTTAAATCTAATTTTAAAAGAAAAGCATGGATCCCTTCCATAGGGATGGAAGTTGTGTTCAGTCTGTAACACTCTCCTCTGGTGTTCCCCTGCTCCTGCATGGCTACTTCCCATGGGAAAGTCTTTCAAAAACATGGGTCTCCATAGGCTACAGTCTTTCAGGAACAGGCTGCTCCAGTCTGGGTCCCCCATGGCCTGCAGCTACTCCCAGAAGCCTCCATCTGTGTGGGCTCCTCGACATGTGCTGTGGCTTCCGCCATGGCATGGCCAGCTGCGTGGGGTCCTCCACAGGCTGCGGTGTGGACTTCTGCTCTGCTGTGGTCTTCTCTATGGGCTGGAGGGGAATCTCTGCTCTGGGACCTGGAGCATCTTCTCCCCCTCCTTCTCCACTGACCTTGATGGCTGCAGGGCTGTGTCTCTCACACTTTTTCTCACTCCTCTCATGGTTGCTGTGCAGTGTTCTTCACCCTTTCTTACAGATGTTTTCCCAGAGGTACCACCATCTCGCCTGAGGGGCTCGGCTGTGTTCTGTGGTGGGTCTGTTTGAGCTGGCTGTCCAGCATGGAGCAGCCTAGGCCTCTTCTCACAAAGACAACCCTGCAGACGCCTGCTTATGAATTGGAGGCAGTTAGAAATGGTGGCATCACAATCCTCACCCTGAATCCAGGAACATTTTCTTCCCAGAGCTTACTGTGTCTAACTCCTTGTTAGACAGTCGGTTTAGTTGACACTGCTTCTGGCTGATGCAGTCTGAGTGTTAGTTACAGAGAAGCTGGATAAAAAGATGCAGTATTTGCTTGGCTGAGACAAGAGCTTCCTTCTTGAAATGAAAGGCTAGTCAGCTGATTGCTCTCTTTACCATCTATTTAGGTGTTATATTCTAGCTATGGTTGATTGTGCTGAGAGGATCCTGCTTGCTGCTTCCTTTGCAACATTTATGTTGTTGTTAAAGTAACAGGTGTATGTTTGTTCTATAATTGCACAGTTGCCTGTCTTATGACACTATTGTTGTCACTGCATGAGGTTACCAAACAAATGATGATTTTTCTTCTGTTCAGTATAATATTTGATAAGTACTAATCTGTGGAGCGTCATCTCAGCAGGGACTTCTGGAGGTTGTCTAGTTAATCTGCTCAAAGGAGGGTTAAGTAGAGCAGGCTGCTCAGGACCAAGTTCTTGCTGATTTTTATTATTTCTGAGGTTGCAGACTCTACAACTTCTATGAGCAATCTGTGCCAGTGTTTGACTGCTCTTACAGAAAAAAATACATTTGTTTAAATGGTGTTTCCTGTGTTTTATTTTGTGCCTATTGCCTCTCATCCTTCCATTAGGCAACACTGAGAAGAGTCTGGCTCAGTCTTTGCTTCTTCCCATTAAGTATTTATACACATTGATAAGATTGCCCACACCTGTCCTTCTCTTCTCCACATTAAACAATACCAGCACCCTCAGTGTGCTCTCAGATCAGAGGTGTTATAATCCCTACATAACAGAACAGTGTTGTGTACTAAATTTCAGTTGGAAAAATACAGAAATGTGAATTTCTGCTCTCTGAATGTTTACTTGGAACCTCAAGGGCACCACCATCGATGTTCAGCTGTTACTAACCTTTGAGCAAGTACAGAAGAAAAAAATATTTTGACATTTCAATGGTCATTGTTCTCATTTCAGTGCGTATTGTTTTATACCTGTTCTTTCTGATTTTGATTGAGAACTTGCACCCTGGTAAATGCATTAGCATACCTTCTATTTTAATGTAATTTTTGGAGCTTTCTGTCAACATAGGGAAAAGATATTTAAAATGTACCCATGTTCTTCTCTTCAGTGTACTGTTTTACAGTGATTTGGAAGAACTGTGTTGGGAAGGCAGAAAAAAGTGCAAACACAAGGTCATTACAGTGAGAAACAAATTTAAATTCACTGAAAATAAAGTAGTAGTAGTAGTATCAACATTCATTCAAAACAAGCAGTAGCAAGGAGACACAGTGAATCTGCTTTTGAAGCAGTAATAGGTGTCTGGAATTAGATTGTAGTGCTGGATAAGCTTCCTTTGGTAGTAAACAATTACTAAACCTCTATAGATACCAGGAGAAAAGTGGTTTCAGTGTACACAAGTGAAATAATTAGAATTTCAAGCTTATATTTCTCAATGTGGCTTAAAATTTAAAATCATAGAAGTTTTAAAATGTAATTTCAGTTTGTAGGAAAGGTAGTTCTTGAATGTAGTTCTTAAAGAATATCTGATGTGCTAAGACATTCTGTCCTGTAATATTAAAATATTGAGCAGTTGCTGTTAAAATGGCAGTGTATTAACAAAGTAATACAATTTTCTGTGAAATGCTGTAGTAAATTAGCAGAGAAGCTAGTAGATGGGACAGCTGTTCACTTCAGAATCAGTAACCTGCTCTTTAGTGGCCACACTCGCAAAAACAAGCTATTGTCAGTAGCCACAGGATTGTCCACTTTTCCTAAGGAGATATCTGTTCAGTTAACTTTTTTGAGAATAGAATTGGTTCTGGATATGTAAGTAGCAGGTCATCTCTAATGCAAATGGAGTTAGGAGTGTATTTTTCCCTGTGAGAATGAGCTGATCTGATCAAAAGTTAGCAGAGGGTGTAGAAGTTGATCAGAAGAAACATGAGTGACCAGCGTAGCTTTCTCCTGAGTAGAAGTGTGTTCTCAGTCAGGCTTTAGACAAGGTTAAAAAAACACTTGCGTCATACTAAACTAGCCTCTTGGTTCACAGAAAATCCTGCTGTCCTCTGTGATTAAAGGATTTCCTGTAGAGATGACAAGTTAAAGAAAACCTAATATGAAGTTGTGTGCAGGATGTAGTAAAATGCAGGTCTCTTATTTTAGGAAGCTGGAAAGTGTGATCTGATTACCGCCAACTTACTCTTACATCTTAGCTCGGTTTGAGCAGTGTTAATAAAGAGCTATGCCCTCACCTCCTGTGGTTTACTGCTGTATGGCTAAGGATTATAAATAAACACATTAAAGAACTTAGGGGATGAGCAGGTGTGGATCTGCTTGCCCATGATCTCAGTTGCTTCAACATTCAGAATATTTAGCTATGCTTCCTATTTTATCCTTTCTTTAGATATTCTGCTCCTTTACTTTAATGTGTCTCTATGTACTCCAGTGTGTCAGGTTCAAAGAATATGGGATTTAGCATGTGGTCTTGTCATACCATTTCAGAATATGTAGAAGTCAGTATCATGTTGGTAATGCTATTTCTTGATGTTAAGATCTATTGTAATGCTCAAATTGTAAAACTAGATAGACTGTAGTGCAAGAATAAACAGTTCAAGGAGGTGATTAATCTTGTCTGTTCTGTATATTGCACATTGTACTCTGTTTTAAGGTTTTTGTGATAGAAGTGTAGTGGATGTCTGAGCTTGTACTATTCATAGTGAGTTTACTGCTATACATAGAATTAGGCTACGCGCTGCTTTGTTCAGGGTGGAGAAGGTGATGAACTTGACTGCCCGTAAACCAGCTGTTATAAAACACTTGATTCCCATACTGCGTTCTCAGTCCTTCAAATGCTCTCAGCTGTAGTTTACTTTATTCTTATTTCACTGAACTTGGTTTTATAATTGGAAAAGTGTTAGTTCCTTAAGTGGTTGTAGATTTTCTCATGCCCCTGTAAAATCTTGTAATAGAGAGATCATAAGCCGAGATGATTTCTAACTTGAAAATCAATACTAAAATTAGTTCAAGGCACACTTAACATTTGGGAGTAGCATATGGTACTGAAAATTTCCAAGCTGGTGAGTGGATGCTTTTGGATATTTTCACATTTATAGCCAGTGACAGTGCTGTGTAGCAGATAGCTGGGGTCCTGAGTACTGAGGCAAATACATACTGTTTCCTCTGTAGTTTCAGAGGCAGGGAGATGAGGCTTAAGTCTGGAGAAAGGACTGAAAGTAGTGCTATACTTTCAGAAGACTTTCGCTCCCTCACATAGTTTATTCTGATGACATCCTTCACATGTAGCTGAGACGACCCTGCTGTAATACAGGCTCTTGACAGACATTTGTTGCAAAGTATTTGATGTGCTATCTTTGCAACTGTAAGATGCAGTGTAAGTTTATCTTATCTAATTATAAATGGAATTAGTGGATTGAGGTGGTGGAGGGGGTATTTAATTTGCTTCAAATTACTTCCTCAAATAAGACAAAAGAGCTTGTGAGATTTGGTATCAGTATTCAGAATGTAACGTTGAAAAGCTGAGAAGTGAAGAGCCATGATGTAATAGTCAAAATGCCAAAAGCATCAAAATGTCACCATTCCTGTGAGAACGGTTAGGTTAATTTTCCAAACTCTAGGTCTTTTGGAGGTCTTAGAGTACCATTAAACATACTGCCTCTGCTGAAACTTCACCTCTCCCTGTGTAGCACTGACTGTTTTCATAGCATTGAAGCGGTGGTTACATTCGAAAGCTGTCATGCTTCACAGTGAAGCCTCTGCAAGCTGTGTTCAAAACGGATGCTCAGAGCTAGCAAGCAGCTTTGAATGTTCCTTACCCAGGACCTTTCATGCTGAGGATGGCTCACCTCATACTGTGAGAAAGAGGGGAGCCATTTGCAAGTGTCAGGGGTGGCAGTTGTAACCCTGTGTTGAACGGAACACTTTCTAGAAGTTAGTGGAAGCACTCTTGCATCCTTCTGAATGTGACTGTTCCCTTGTTTTCAGTTGGCATGGTGGTTTTGCTTTACACTTAGAAAAGCAGCTTTTATCCATGAAGCTAATGATTCTCAATCTTTTCTTTGAAGAGATCACTCTTCCTGTATGCTGCTCTTTAATTGGATGCCTTTTATTCATATGTTGAACCTATTAGTTTGGGGCCATTATTATTTTAGGGCTATTAGTTTGTCAAGAGCTCCCTTTGTCATGTGAGGCCTGGGGCTGTCAAACCTGCATTTTGAAGTGACCCCACTCCACCTGTGTAGCACCCAGACTGCTGAGCAATAGAGCACCATGTCATGAAGCACTGCTGCTTTCTGGTTACCTGCAATGTTGTCAGGAAGAGTAGTGTGCCCTGAAGCTATCCCTTAGCTAGTCCTTTTGCCCTGAAGACCTAAGCTGTTAAATTCATAGCATTGCCTGTGCATGAAAATATCTCCTCTATGAAGTGCATGGGATGTTTCAAATAAAAATGAAGTAATTCCAGTGGTAAAACCCTTTTGAGGTTTATTTAAGACTGCATGATTGTGTTAAGGAGAAATTTTAAGGAAGCCATGTGGTTGGCCACTGCAGCTGACAATGTAGTACACGGTTCTGTTGGTACTGGCAAAATATCTATTTTTGATTGTTTTCTTAAAAGAATAATCAGAAGGTTTTTTTTTTCTTCTGTAGGGAATTTAACACCAGAGCCGCCTAAAATATCATCTTCTACAAGCCACCCAGATCTCCTCAGTGGTTGGGATTCTTGGGCAGATTCCTCAGCAACCAGCAATGTAGCGTCACCACAGCTAAAGCCTCTTTTTGAAGGTATTTTGAAATGAAGTTATTCCATTAGAGGGAATACAGAATACTCAAAACTTGGTCAGTTTAATTGCTTGAAACTGCTGAAAATGTCTTCATGTCTTTTTGCTTTCTTGCTTAAAGGACTCCATACTCTTGTGCTTAAATGCCTCTTTATTAAGGCACTTGTGTAGTTTTTCAGAATAAGTTCAAGGCAGAACAGCCAAATTGTTTCAGCTGTCTGTAGTCATGGTGATTCTTATCATGGTAAAAGATGTCATGGAGCTGAATGCTGGGGAGGTTCACACAAGGTGTTGTGGAAATAGTACTTTTATTGATTCTCTCAATTTCCAGATACACCATGTACATGATGCATTTTCTTATTATACAGGTCAAGCTTTTACCACAGGGAGCCAGTCCAATGTGTCTTCAAATCTGTCTTTCAGCCAGGCTAAATCTCAGAACTTTGATCCTTTTGCTGATCTTGCCAATCTTGGATCTGGTCTTCCAGGTGAGATCTTACATTTATTGGTACAAGAAGCGAATAAAACCACAGAGGCATTAAGTATAGCCTCCTAAAAGTAACTGATAGCTTATATAAAGGAAGCTGTTTCCTTTTAGTTTTTAATGACCAGCTCGAGGCAACTGCTAAGAGCAGACAATTTACAAGAAAAGATCAATTATTTACAGAGATTGTGTAAAACATCTAGAATAATCCCTGTGCATGGCAGGGGTATTGCCCTAAATGATCTTTAAGGTCTCTTCCAATCCAAACCGTTTTATCGTAATAATATTTCAGAAGATAACAGTTGAAAATGTATAAATACTTGATATAGAAACAGTATAAATACTTAATGCTTCAGAATGTAGTTGAGAAGGTAAGAGAAACCAGAGGTCGCTGGTTTAGTAACTGAGCATGAGGTTCCTTATCTAGCATTGATTGATACTGTGCTGTGAAGGATATAAAATGAAAGCTGTGTCACTGTGCTAGTGAACCTTCTCAGGCTTAAACTGAATTTTCAGGGAGTTACAAGAACTGGTGTTTAGACTTGTTGTATTTTTCATAGGTGTTTTTTGACCTTAACTTGTAAGTTGTTATTCTGGAAGAAAAGTTATGTGATGAAAACTGCTTAATTAGGAATACTATATAAACAGAAAAGAAACACTGCTACTAACTACCTTTAGTTATTTTATCAGGCTAGTGGTAGGATACTAGTAGTGTTCTGTGATAGTTGTTCTCACACTCTTAAATTCTAAGAATGATCTTGTACTAGAAAGTAGGACTGTAATGTAAAGTTCCTGCTTCCAAAAAGTCTAGATTTATCTAAATTCAGTCATCATGCTATTTGTTTTAGAATAAAAAAATATCATGCTTATTCTCATCAGTGAGACAAAAAGCTGAATAATGAATTTTAAACGCTGAAACTTTATTCTGCTCAATATGCTTACACTGAGTATTGTAAACTACAGAAAAGGCCCTGTGTGTTCTTCCAAAATTAGTAGGAGGTGAAGCTGTTAAGCAGTGCTATTTATACTGATACAGTGAATGGAAATGGGATACTAAAAATTGAGTCAATAGTCTATTGACAGACAGAGGCCTATAGATCACACCAGGATGATTACAACAGTATCTTCTGCGGGCTTCAGTGCTTTTTTTACTTATGTGCAATTTCCCTGCTAGTGCTGCTTTAGAGTAATCTTCTCATCTTTCTTAAGCAGTAGTGGAAGAAATCACTAGAGACTTTGAAAGCACTCATTTGAAAATATCCTCACTATATTACTTTTTCTTGATCACATAGTTTTTCAGTGTCCTCTGCACAGTAACAGATGTTGAAGTGTAATGAACTGGGTGGGCAGAACCACTGTCACTGAAGAATTATTTCTGGCTTTACACATGCCTGGCTGATCACACAAGAGTGAATGCTTCTGCTAAAATTCACAGTTGAAAACTTGAGTTGTAAGGAGTCAGAAGACTTTCTGTAATGGCTCTAGCTCCTGCCAGCCAAGTAACCTGTTAATGAGACTCTTCACTTCATTTTACGTACTTGGGCTTTCTCTTCTATAGTGGTATCACTGTAAACTGTGTGGTTAGATGTCATGACCAAACCGTCCTAATTGTATTAAACAAGTGACAGATACTGAGCTGAGAAACTAATTTAGTATTTATTGTTAGGTTCCTCCAGTGGTGGGCTCTCGAGTAGTGGCTTCGGTCAGAAGACTGTTCCACCTCAGAAGTTGGGAAATCAGTGGCAGAAATCCACAAAACCCCAGAGTACTTCATGGCAGTCCCAGACTAAATCCAGCACAGCAGCTAAACCCAATTACACAGTAAACTTCAGTGTTATTGGTGGACGAGAAGAAAGAGGAATCAGAACCCCAAGCTTTGGTAAGTTTTCTGAAGGCATTCCTTATAATGGCCTCTGTGAAGTTAGTCAGATGTGCTGTACGCAGCAGAAACTCTTGTACCTTCGTCTTTTTATTTATATTTAGGTTGTATCTAGTAGAAACCTGGAAAGAACTTAGCAAATCTGGTGTCCTGCTTTTGTAGAGCTACACTAGAATATTGCAGAGACGAGCTGACCATGGCCCAGATATGTGCAAGTTTGGACATAAAATCTTAAGGCTATATTCACTCGTCTACATGGGTACTGGTTTTGTATCACTGGGTTAGAAAGGTAAATTTGATTTACCCAGGGAGAGATGGTTGATAGTGTTTCTTCATGCTAGTCCACTTGTGATACACAGATAAAAGGATGCAATGTTTTTCCTAGCTGAAGATAATAGCTAGTCACAGAATCACAGAATATTAGAAGTTG